TTGTCCCTTTAAATTTTTAATCGCATAATAAATAACCCAATTTATTAATAAATCAATAAGCCAGTTAACATTTTTTTTAATGAATTCAAAAATATATTTCAATTAACAATTCTGATTATTTTATTGTTATATACGAAAGTAGTTAGAAAATTTACTTTTTCTATTAATTCTGTTAATAAAAAATTATGATAAAAGGTATTTATAATTTTTAAAATTATAAGGGGCAATTCATATTTTAAATAAATCTCAAATGTAATTTATACATAAATTATAAATACACTCCTTGAGATTTACTTAAAATACAAATTGACCCCTTATAGCTTAAAAAATTACATTCAACCCTTCAAGTTTCTAATTGCATAACAAATGATTTTTTTTATTAATAAATCATCAAAGTAATTAACAATTTAAGTAATTTTATTGTTATATAAGATAATAATTAGAAATTTTTTTTTAAAATTCTATTAAATAAAAAATTCTGACAATAAAATATTCATAATTTTCAGAATTACAAGAAAAATTATTTTAAAGCAAACCTTGTAATGGTATATTTGTAAGAAAATTTCAATATACACATAGGGATGGTCATGGATCATGTTTGGGGCTTGTTTGTCATAATCCTCCCCCGCCCCATTTCATACTGGGTGGGGGACAAATTGAGGGTGGCGATAGCAAGGCTGGTGCAGGGTGGGGGACGATTTTTTTTTTATAAGTTGTAAAATAAAGGTATTAAAAATAGTTATAGTATATTATGGATAATAATTCATTTAATAAGAATTATAACAAAGGGTGAAGCATTAATAAATCTCAAAATGTGATTTTGTGAATAGTTTAATCCTCTTTCTTTTTTTTTATAAACCTAAAGATCCCATTAAAGTTGAAATTATATAAAAAGATAGTCACTTACATGTTTGAGTTTAATTTTTTTGAGATAAAAGTAATTTTTTCAAAATATAAAATTACACATTTGGGCAATTCGAATTATAGAAGTTTTGGATTTTCCCTCATTCTATAACAAATCTCACATTAAAAATAAAAACCTAACATTCTAATGTAACACTCCAACAACGTAACACTTCAATGTAACACACTTAAAAAACTCATTGGTGTACTTTTTCCAAACGTAACAACGTAACACTCAAAAAAATTCTTTGGTGTACTTTTCTCAAACGTAACGCTCCAATGTAAAAAAGGAAAAAATAAATAATATCCTTAGTGTACTTTTTCAAAACGTAACACTTCAATCAGTATAATCCCAAACGTAATATTTCAATGTAACATACTCCAATGTAACACACAAAAACATTAAAAAAACTCATCAGTGTACTTTTTTCAAACGTAACACTCACGGTTTGAAATTATACATTAGTTCAAAATTTACTAAGGAGTACTCATTTTTGAAATGGTTTGAAGAATCTCACAAATTGTTTTTTTAGTGTTACATTGGAGTGTTATGTTTAGGAAAAGTACACTAAGAATTTTTTTTTTTTTTTTTTTTTTCTTTTTTTTTGGTGCTACATTGGAGCATTACGTTTAGAAAAAATATATCAAAATTATTTTTTGTGTATTACGTTAAAGTGTTACAATAAGGAACTTTTTTGGAGTGTTATATTGAAGTGTTACGTTTAGAAAATGTACACTAAGGAGCTTTTGTGTGTTATATTAAGGTGTAATACTAAGAAATCTTTTAGAGTATTAGGTGTCGTTTGAGAAGTGGGTTGACTTTTTGACTTTTGGTTTTTTTGGTTATTTTAGCCTGGGACTAAAAAGCCTGATTTGGGAAGGGTTTTAGGTTTTTTTGGCTTTTTTGACTTTTTTGTGAAAGAAAGAATGTAATGATTATGGGTTGAATGTGATGTTTTGTCTTATTAGACTAAAAAGCCTATTTTGTTTTTTGTGACTATTTTAGTCAAAAAAGCCTCAAAACTATCTTCCCAAACGGATTAGAAAAAGTACATCAAGAAATTTTTTTTATATGTTACATTAGAGTATTACATTAAAGAGTTTTTGTGTGTTACATTATTATGTTACATTAAGGAGTTTTTTTTGTGTGTTATATTAGAGTGTTACATTAAGTAGTTTTTTTGTGTGTTATATTAGAGTGTTACGTTTGAGAAAAATACACTAATAAGTTTTTTTGTGTGTTACATTAGAGTGTTACAATAAGAATTTTTGGTGTGTTATTTTGGAGTGTTACACTAAGTAGTTTTTTTGGAGTATTATATTGGAGTGTTACATTTTGAAAAAGTATAGTAAAGATTTTTTTTTTTTTAATGTATTACATTAGTGTTACTTTTGGAATTTTGGAAGTTAATTAATGTCAATGTTACAATAGGGACAAACACCACAAAAGGGAACGAACACTACACTAATAACACCACAAATGAGGTAACATCATCCACCTACAAATCACTCCACTAAATCCTCACAAAAAAAAAAAAAAAAAAAAAAAAAAAAAAAAAAAAAAAACCACATTCACAGAAAGAAAAAGAAACGTAAAAATCTACCTTATCCATGCATACCTAACATTAGGAAAAAAATCCAAACAAAATCACACACAAGGATAAACAAGTAAACTTTCAAACCCCCAAATCAAGGAAATAACATACCCAAAATAAAAAGGACAAATTGGTTTGAAAGAAAACTTCTAGGACTAAATGGTAGGGGTGAGCTATGTTACATGGACTCTTCAAATTAAATCAAATACCCGTGTCGGACACCCGACACTCGGACAAGGGTATGGGATATGTGTCGGATACTTTTCAACGGATACTTCTTATATAATTGTATATAACACTATTATTATATGTATATATTGTTATATAATTGCTATAAATGTCATTTTGACACTATAAGTTAAATATAATACCATTTTATCTCACATATTAGATTAAAAATATAAAAATATGACATTTTTTTGCCGAGTCCGCGTATCCTTAAATTTATGATTTGATGAGTCCGACCTCTAGATACATACCCGCACCCGACACCCGTACCCGAGTCCATGTAACATAGGGGGTGAGCAGCAGATATACTGATCCGTCCAAACTAACTAAACGGAACTGATTTGCCGCATTGTACACGGATGCATGATGACGAGCGGACGGTCGTAGATTGATTTTTTCCAATCCGCCTAGTTTTGGACGGATGGCGGATTTGAGATTCATTTGACCGCAACCGAACAACCAAACCACGAGCACCACTAATAATTTGTAAGACTTTGTATTTTCAATTTGTTTAGATATTCTATTTGTATTTTCAATTGAAAAAGAGTTTAAATATTCTGTTGAAAAAGAGTTTTCAACTTGAATATATTTTTTGAATTGAAAAAAAATAAATGTATTATTTATCTATATTTTTTGGTTTTTAAATCTAACTCTAAAAATAATAAATATTATATGCTGGTTGGTTTTTATTTTCAAAAACAGATATAGATGTAACAATATAGAGGCATACAATCTCTACTACTGTTCTGTTCATAGTTTTTGTGGTTTGAATTGTTTTTATATTTTAAGAACTACATATTGTAATACTTTATGTGAATGAGGCATGCTTTGATTGTAATATGTAGATGAGGCATGCAGTGATTGTAATATTCTAAAGTTTTAAACTTTCTTTCTTTGGATGAGGCATGCAGTGATTGTAATACTTTTTTAAGTCATTGACTGTAATATTTATTTATTTTTATTTTTTTTAAGGAAATGCACAAGTTGAATTATGTTAAAAATTTATAAAATTTTAAACCGCCAAACCGATTTACATCCATCCGTCAATTCGCTCAATTCACATCCGCCGGATTAACGGACGGATGCAGATTGATTTTTTCCAATCTGCCAATTTGGCAGACGGATGACGAATTGGAGGTTCCGTGACCACAATTAACTAACGCCCATCCCTAATTTTCATTGTTTTGTCCCATTCAGTTCAAATGCGATTCAGCTTCAGCTTCAGCTATGTCCCAACTTTTGATGTTATTAGAAATGGAGACAGGGTGTGAGTTCCACACAGGGCAGAGGCACCCATCAGGCTCGGCCCCAAATTTTGAGGGAAAAAAAAACACAACTCACATTATATATACATTTCAAATTGAGAATTTTTTTTTATTAATTTGTAGAGTAAATTACATTGACATTCCTAACATTTTTGTTTAATACAAATTCTTTTTTCACGTTTGAAAAATTACAAATATACACCGTTGAAAAAGGTGTATCATATACGACCGTACTTATGCCAATTTCTTTTTTAGTTATAACTAATTTTTTTGTTTAATTATGACATTATTTTAGGGGCGAATTACACCTACGGTCCCTATAGTTTAGGGTCTGTGTCACTTTGATCCCTGACTTTTTAATTATGACACATTTGATTATGAATTTTGAATCTTGTTCCAAATAAAGACAATTAAATATACTATTGCTCAATTTTAAGGGCAAAGTTGTCAATTTAATAAAATATAAACTAATTTGACAACAATAAATGTCAAAAATATTTTAAAATTTTTAAAAATTATTTTTACCCATCAAAATAAAATTATGCAAAATTGATAAATCTTTTACACATTTATTTATTTTACCAAATTAATTTTTATTATGAGTTTAAATGATGATCATGTAATGAATGATTATTAAATTTTTAATTATGATATTATTTTAATTATAACTCACAAATTTTTTAATTATGCCTTATATTGTGTTTAGTTAAGATTTTCTTCTCTCTTTTTTTTTAATTATAATTCATAAAATATAAAATTATGCCGTTTTATTTTTCAGTTATAAGGTATATAATACAACCCTTAATGTTCCCATATTTGTAATTTACCTGTTATGTTTACAAATATGTTTGTAGTCTGAATTTTGAAGAACCCAACACTGACACTTCATTGCTACCCGAAACCCATTAAACTCACTGTGTCTCTGCTCACTCTGCAATGAAGAGTACCTCTCTCTCTCTCTCTCTCTCTCTCTCTCTCATGTAGTGAATTGAATGGATGGTGAATGCAGGTGGGAAACTTCATGCACTACATCAGCAGATTCATAGCAGGATTCACAATAGGGTTCATAAGGGTGTGGCAGATTAGTTTGGTGACTCTGTCAATCGTACCCTTAATTGCCATTGCTGGTGGTGTCTATGCTTTTGTTGCCACTGGTCTCATTGTCAGAGTCCGCAAATCTTACGTCAAGGCCGGTGACATTGCCCAAGAGGTACTTCTCTTTCTCTTTCTCTCGTAGATTGATTCCTCTCTCTTCATTGCAATGCTATTTTGGAATTCGACACAGAGCCAGACCCAAATGAGATTCATATAATGTTCTGTTACTGATTTGAGTTCTAATGTGTTGAACAAAAATACTTACTAAGATTATTCATAATTTAAAATTTTTCAATTTGGAAATTTTCAATTCCCTTTGTTTTCTAGCCCCGAAAAAAAAAAAAAAAAAAAAAGAAGGGAAAATTACAAAAAAAAGTCCCAAAATTTGATCCTTCTAACAAAAAATAAATTCTAAACTTTTAACCTTTTCAATTTAAAATTTATTTTTTTTATTTGTTTTCAATATAAACTATCAGTCTATTTTTGTTATACAAAATTTATAATAAAAAAAAAGAAGAAAAAAAAGAAGAGAATTTTAGTTGCTAAAGTCAATGTTGATATCATTTTTCATTAAGTTTGGTAACTAAAATATCATTTTTAATCAGTTATACCTAACATAATAGGTAAATAATTTAGATTGAAAATAAATTAAAAGTTTATAATTAAACTGATAAAATTAAAATTCAAAATTTATCAGTTATAGTGATTAAACTGTGGAGTTTTATTTTATTTTTTAATTTCCCCAAAAAGTTTTGGGTTACCACCTTTTAAAAAATGGCACCACCCATATTATTTTATATGAAATAGTACGAAAATTCTATATAAAAGTCAGGGCAATATGGATCAGCTTTTGCTTCCATGTAAAAAAATTAAAATGTCATGTTCTTTTGTATATAAAATAGATTTTTACCCAGACAAAATCTATTGATACACGAAATTGTTTTGAATAAAGTTTTTCTATAAATATTCTGTATGCCTAAAATTTTCTTCTCTTTAATAAAATGTTGATTTGAGCCATCTACTATTGTGAAAATTTCTGTAAATTGAATAACAAAACAAAGTACTTTTGCAAGTGTATGTTTTGACAATTCAGCTGATTTTTCTAAGTCATGTTTGTTACTTAAGTTGGGATCACCAGATATGGGATTATTTAATTTTTGTTTTTTAATTTTTAATTTTGATGATTAACTGAACACTCCAGCATATTAGGGAAAATTTTAGGCACTTACCAATCAATCCTGTTAACTAGACTTATTTACCTATAGGTCTTAACTGATAAATTTATCACTGTAAATTTATTCATAAATATATGAGAGATTGATAAATTTGTGATTGGACTTAATGGGTAATAAGTCCCAAAATATGACCTCTTAGTAATTTATCCAAAATTTTAATTTTAATTTTTGTTTTGTGCTATTAATTCTCAGGTGATTGGGAATGTCAGAACGGTCCAAGCATTTGCAGGAGAGGAAAGGGCAGTGAGATCATATAGAACAGCACTGCTCAACACTTACAAGTATGGGAGGAAAGCAGGACTAGCCAAGGGTCTGGGACTAGGCACCATGCACTGTGTCCTTTTCCTTTCATGGTCTTTGCTTGTTTGGTACACTAGTGTTGTTGTTCACAAGAACATTGCCAATGGAGGAGAGTCTTTCACTACCATGCTCAATGTTGTTATCGCTGGACTGTAAGTTTTGTTCTTTTTTTTTAGCATACTTTTTGACTGTTACATGGGAATTGAATCATTCCAATGTATATTACATAGTACTGAAATTAGTTCATTGTACTTCCCACTGCATTTGGATGTCTATAAATCAGTTCATGGAAATTAGAAGGCAGCATATGAATGAGACCTTTCCTCACACAGTTTGAAATGAGTTTCATTCATTCCTTGTATAAGGAACTGTATATACTCGATACTTGATCTAATTTGTTTATCACTCAAGTTTGACCTATTTTATGATAAATCTGCTTTCTTCCATAGAAAAAGCACCATGTAAATTGACATTTGAAGTAGGTTTATACAACCATATGTCAGCCATGAATAATTCAGACAATAGGAGCCAGTTTGGGTAACATCGCAAAACCATTTGCTGATGCAACTATAAAGAGGGTAAAGGACTTCTGGAGATTCCACCATCCATTTTGATTAACATGATTTTCAATTCACCTTGGGTTTGTTTGGATTTTACATTCATATTTAGATTTGACGTAAAATTGGAAGCAAGTTCACTATGCTATTTCCATAGGAATGAACAACTATCTGAATTTAAAATGATAATGTTAATTGCGTGAGTTGTTGCCATTTGATTTTCTGTTTGGCATTGATCCTCAACTTTGGTAAAGATGCAATTCTAGAGGATGAACGTGCTCTCAAACATTGTGGAAAACAGAGTGTCATGAATCTGTTTTCATGACATTCCCAAATTGTTTCCTTATGTAATACAAATCACATTGCAGTTGGTCATGATTGATTAAGACAATTGCATATGTCATGTTCGTGCTAAACTAGAAATGAAGGGTTTTGATTGCGAGCTTCATAATGATGAGATAATTGCATTAAACAAAATAAGCAAATTGTAAGCTCTTACTACTTCTCAGGTCACTAGGACAGGCAGCTCCAGACATCTCTGCATTCCTCCGAGCAAAGGCAGCTGCTTATCCCATATTTGAGATGATAGAGAAAAATGCAGTAAGCAAAACAAGCACGAAAACTGGCAGGAAACTAAACAACCTCGAAGGCCATATCCAGTTCAAGGACGTATGTTTTAGCTACCCATCTCGTCCTGATGCTATGATTTTCAATAAGCTCTGTCTTGATATACCTTCCGGTAAGATTGTAGCCCTTGTGGGAGGAAGTGGGTCTGGAAAGAGCACAGTTATATCTTTGATTGAGCGCTTTTACCAGCCCTTATCGGGACCGATACTATTAGATGGAACCGATATCAGGGAGATTGACCTCAAATGGCTCAGGCAACAGATTGGGTTGGTTAATCAAGAGCCTGCACTTTTTGCTACAACCATTAGGGAGAACATTCTCTATGGCAAAGATGATGCCACACTTGATGAGATTAGCCGTGCCGCAAAACTTTCAGAAGCACTCACTTTCATCAACAAGCTTCCAGATAGATTTGAAACTCAGGTATAAGGAACTAAAGAATATTTATTTGTAGATAAACATGATGTGTTTGAAAGCAACTTGAACTACAATAAACTTGTAATATCTGCCTGTTATGTTTCTTGGTACGTATGTCATGGACATTTCTTTGTTATAATAGTTATTTGGCCCTGCATGGTTGCCAGGAAAATTCATGAAAATAGAAGAAAATTTAGTAATCAACCACTTAGAAATGGTTTCTGTGACTTTATAAGGTTCCGAAAATTTATTTCTTCTTGGCCATCAAGTTGGAACCAAGTGACTCATAAAGGAGAGATGAAACTGATAATATATAGACGGGATTTTGATTTCAGGAGATACTTTTTCTTTAACTAGAAATATATAAGCTATTCATTTCTCTTTAATACAACTTCAGCGATTCAATCAGACTTGGATGTGAACACAAATATCCACTCATGATATACATGAAATTTGATAATTGAAATGGTGAAGTTAGAAAGTTATGATCTTAATCTTTGACAGAACACGAGTAAGGGAGAATTTTTTGTCAAATGAGTAGTACTAGAAGTTCATTTGCAGGTGGGTGAAAGGGGAATACAATTATCAGGCGGACAGAAGCAGAGAATTGCAATATCACGTGCGATAGTAAAGAATCCTTCAATACTTCTGCTGGATGAAGCTACGAGTGCACTTGACGCAGAGTCTGAGAAGAGTGTGCAGGAGGCACTTGATCGTGTGATGGTGGGACGAACAACTATAGTTGTTGCCCATCGGCTTTCAACTATTAGAAATGCAGATATAATAGCTGTTGTTCAAAGTGGGAAGATAGTTGAAACCGGGAGTCATGACGATCTCATTTCAAAACCAAATGGTGCCTATGCATCACTTGCTCAACTCCAAGAGGCAGCTTCCTCACATTGCCTCCCTTCATGTGGACCTACTCTGGGACAACCTCTCAGGTACATATAATAAATTTCTGAAACATTTTGATTCTTTAGATATTCCATTAAAATGCTTAATACGATTAAACTGAATGGGGGCATTCATGCTCCGTTTGTTTTCTTTTTCTTTAATGACTTTTTATAGCATTAAGTATTCCCATGAATTATCCCACACAAGCAGCCATGGTGCAAGTTTTCAATCTGATAAAGTATCTGTCAGCCGAATTGGAGGTGAGGTAGCAGAGATTGTTAAGCCAACACGTGTGTCTAGTAGAAGATTGTATTCGATGGTGGGTCCTGATTGGATTTATGGGGTATCTGGCACAATTTGTGCATTTATTGCTGGAGCCCAGTTTCCTCTTTTCGCTCTTGGTGTCACTCAGGCTCTTGTATCTTATTACATGGACTGGGACACGACATGCCGTGAAGTAAAGAAGATTGCACTCCTCTTCTGTGGTGGTGCTGTTATAACTGTTATTGTTAATGCCATCACACATCTCTCTTTTGGGATCATGGGAGAGCGGCTTACTCTTCGTGTGCGGGAAATGATGTTTTCTTGTAAGAATGTGCCTGTAGCCATCTTTACTCCTCGTATTACTATTGTTTTTCAGATTTAAGAAGTTATTAGTTTACTGCAAGAGCATTATTTTCTAAATCAAAGTACTAATATTATTCTAACATTTAAAATTATTTTTAGCATTGAATTCATTCTTTTCTTATTCCTAGATGATGAATGTATGCCTTTATATGGTAATGGAAACCAAAATACTGATGTATGTTCATGTGGTGTCCAAATGACAAGTCCTTCATCTAGATCTCGACAAATTTCTGTCTTTCTTTTTATTTTATTTCTTAAATTTCTTTCTGTGCTTGGTTGCAGCCATTTTGAGAAACGAGATTGGATGGTTTGATGAAACAAACAACACAAGTTCCATGCTTGCATCTCGTTTAGAGAGTGATGCAACTTTATTGCGAACTGTCGTTGTTGATCGCTCTACAATTCTCTTACAGAATGTTGGTTTGGTTGTTACCTCATTCATCATTGCCTTCATCTTGAACTGGAGGCTTACACTTGTTGTCATGGCCACATATCCATTGATCATTAGTGGCCACATCAGCGAGGTTTCCTCCTCCTCCCAATTTTAGGTTGCAGATTAAAAGCTGGTATTTGAAAATGTTTTATCACTAGCTTCTATTTTTTAATTTTTTTTCAGAAAATGTTCATGAAAGGGTATGGTGGTAACTTGAGCAAAGCCTATCTCAAAGCTAACATGCTTGCTGGTGAGGCTGTGAGTAATATCCGCACTGTCGCTGCTTTTTGCTCTGAAGAAAAGGTCCTTGACCTTTATACTCATGAGCTTGTTGAGCCTTCAAGGCGTTCATTTACTCGTGGTCAGATTGCTGGCATATTCTATGGAGTCTCTCAATTCTTCATCTTCTCATCCTATGGCCTTGCTTTATGGTAAGTGGTTTTAGCTTCATCATTTTAACCTTTGCCGTGGAAAATGTGGTGTGTATCACACATTTCTCTCAAATATGTAGCATTGATACATATGTAGCATTGATACTAGATGCCTATCAATTTTTAGACATGGATATATGATGCTTGTCAGATTGATGTCAAACGGCTATTAAGAAATCCATTCAAGCATTCAATTGATCCCAAAACCAGCGCAATGCTTAATCCTGTTTTATCGGCATTTACAACCCCTTAAATTAGCTCTCATCTAACTATTCTAGCTTTAAATCTGTTCAACTTTGTGCAGGTATGGTTCTGTTTTGATGGGGAAGGAGATTGCTAGCTTTAAATCGGTCATGAAATCGTTTATGGTTTTGATTGTGACAGCACTAGCCATGGGTGAAACTTTGGCAATGGCACCGGACCTTCTAAAAGGGCACCAAATGGTGGCATCAGTCTTCGAGGTGCTTGACCGGAAGACAGAGGTAACAGATGATATCGGAGAAGAACTAATAAGGGTGGAGGGCACAATTGAGCTGAAGGGTGTCCAATTTAGCTACCCTTCAAGGCCTAATGTACTGATTTTCAAGGACTTTGAGCTAAGAGTGTGTGCGGGCCAGAGCATGGCATTAGTGGGGCAGAGTGGGTCAGGTAAAAGTTCAGTGCTCTCTCTGATACTCCGATTTTACGATCCGACAGTCGGGAAAGTGATGATTGATGGTGAGTTTTTCTTATAATCTTCTAACAAGTTTTATTTAAACAGGCTGCTAATGAATCGAGGTGCTCACAAGCTTGGCTCGGCTCGACTTATCTCAGTTTGTTATGTATATAAACTAGTTGGAGCCAAATTTTTAAGCTCATTTAATAAACGAGCCAAGCTTGAGATAGAATAAGCTGGGTTGTTTATTATTTATTTAAATAATATAAAATGTGTTATATTATGCATATTTACTATATTACAATTTTAAAGAGCCAACCAGGCTTGACTATTGAGCCGAACTTATTTTTCATTACTGAGCTTCGAGCTGAGCTCGAGCATGATTAGTATAAATGAGCCAAGCTCAACCCTTGCAAAGCTCAACTTGGCTCGGTTTGTTGGGTCTCAAAGTGTTGTTATCTACTCTCACAGGGAAAGATATCAAGAAACTCAAGCTCGAATCTCTCAGGAAGCACGTAGGCCTAGTCCAACAAGAACCGGCCCTCTTTGCCACGTCAATTTTTGAAAACATCCTTTATGGAAAAGAGGGAGCCTCGGAAGGTGAAGTGATTGAAGCAGCAAAACTAGCTAATGCACATAGTTTTATAAGTGCCCTTCCAGAGGGCTACTTGACCAAAGTTGGAGAGCGAGGAGTGCAACTGTCCGGTGGCCAGAAGCAACGAGTGGCCATTGCTCGGGCTGTTCTTAAAAACCCAGCAATCTTGTTACTAGACGAAGCCACGAGCGCTCTAGACGTGGAGTCAGAGCAGGTAATTCAACAAGCGCTAGATAGGTTGATGAAGAACAGGACTACAGTCGTGGTGGCACATAGGCTATCGACCATAAGAAATGCAGACCTAATATCGGTTTTACAAGATGGGAAGATAGTAGAGCAAGGGATTCATTCTGCTCTTGTAGAGAACAAAGATGGGGCGTACTTCAAGTTAATCAGCTTACAACCGCAGCAACAACAGTATCAACAATAGCAACTTCAATGTTTTACCATTGTTTTACAATTTTTTTTTTTTTTTGCCGTTGTTTTTATGAGAAGATTACACATGTTAATGCTTTCATTGTAGATTAGGTTTGCCCATTCTCTTGTTGCTATTCTGCTTGTATGAAGAATATTCTGTGCCTGAGCAAAGTGCATGAAAATAAAATTTTTAAAAGAGTGTTTAAAATAAAAATATGGGAAATAAGAATTACAAATGTTATATACTCTTGTTGTTTGCCTCTCTTAAGGTTTAGCTTTTTCTCGTTCTGACTCTTGAAGTTTATTTCTTTCTACTTTGGTTCCAATCGTTTCTATTTTTTTCAATTTACTTCAACACGCGACTTCTGTCCAATTTTGGAATGAAAATGCTACATTTTGCATAATAGCACATTATTATGCAAATTTGGACAAATTACACTTTGCTCTTTTACGCTGTGTTTAGTTGGGAGATTTGAGGAGGGATTTAGAAAGGGAAAGGGAAAAGTTAGGTGAAATGTGAATAAAATATACTTACATTTTACCTAGTTTCACATTCCTTTTCCTTTTTCCTTTCCCTTTCCAAATTCCTCCCAAATCTCCCAACCAAACACAGCATTAAATTTCAATGTTTTGTCATTTTGACTCTCAAATTTTTTTCCCTACTTTAGCCCTTGATTTTTTTTACTTGTTCTCAATTTACTCCAACTATCAGTGTCTATCAACCATAAAGTGTAATGAATCCGAATTTGTATAATAATGTGTTATTATACTACGTGGCTACTGACATGGTCCACGTGATTGCTAGCATAACATTTTTCGTCCAAAATTATATAGAAGTTAACTATTGAAATAAATTGAAAAATATTAGGACTGTTTTTCCTTCTCTTGCTTTTGTCTAACCCATAATCTGAACAAGTCACACATACACCCTAATACATGTTCCTCAATGCTGAGGGAATATCTGAAGTGCGGGGGATTACATGATATTTCTGATTGATTGTCTTGTAATTTTCGAAGAAAAAAAAAAAAAACTTTAATAGGCAAAATGAGAAAATGATAAAGGTTAAAGGAAACAAAGCATAATTTACCCTTCTTTGAAATTTTTTTTGAAAAAAAGGATTCTTTGATTTTATGAAGTTTCAGTGAAAGAAAGTTCATAGCAGTTGTCAACAGATGAAAGCAAGTTTGATAAGTAAAACCCAATTAGAAATTTTTGTATTATAGTTTGTTATTATTTCAATCTTTTACCCTATGACTTATATTCATCTTCTTATCTCCACATTTGACTAACAACGAGAGGAATTCTATTTAGAGTAATGTGATCTCAAAAGATTTATCAAAGAAAAACATTTTCCTTTTGTTTAACCATTGTTGATTAATGGGTTAGTTATATATATTTACCTAACTTTTTAACTTCAGAGGTTGAAATTTAAATTACCAAGTTAATTACAAATGGTCCCACTTACTGTTCTTCGTAAAACCCATTTGATTGAAGTATTGTCTCATTCTCATCATGGCTTCTTGATCAAGTATATGTTCATATGAAATATTGCAATCTTAAAGGTTACCCACCATTGAAAATAAATTTATCCTTTGGGTAAATTATAGGAGTAGTTATTTGTAAACACCATATTTTTGACCGCCCGTAAGACTTAGATGCTTGGTTCAGTGCACTCAATGATAAAAGTTGAATTGTGAATTCGTAGCGATTCGGAATCAATCAAGTTTTTGAAATAACCTCACGTCTTCAACATATACCTTGTTTAAACCCATAAGTTTTATTTTTGGACCTTTTCTTCCCTGAGCTGAGTTTGAACAAAAAAAACAAGAGAGGCCATCAAGGCCCGGCCATGCATTAGTGATGGCCAGCCGTGGCTATGAATGGACGGCTAGTCTTCGATGGCGATTAACACTGTTCTGGGCGGGAGGCCGCCAGCTGTCCATTTTTAAAGATATTTATCACCTTTTAAGCTTGAATTCTATAAAAACCGAAGCTTTGAAATTATTGTTTTGAGGGTTGAACAAAATTCTAGAAGTGATATATACTCTGGACTCCCCCTTCTTCCATTGCAAATCATCTTTGAGCTAATCTAGCTTGCTTATACCACCTATATACACCATATACAACCTTGTCTTACCACCCTAAAGCCTTGGTTGATTTTGGAGAAGTGTAATTCAAGCTTGAGAGTGCATTGAAACTAAGTTTGGAACATCAACAACAAGTTTACTTCTTAAAAGGTATAAGCTTGTTTTCTCTTCTCTTGTCTTCATTTCTATCATTTACTTCATACTTCTTGCTGTTTTGGATTGTTTTGAGCTTATTTGAAGTGTATAGAGTTGGGTTTGAAGAGTTACCAAAAAGGGTAGAGAATGTTTGCTCTTTCTATATCTTTATTCCTAACTCAAACCTTCTCATTTTCACTCATTTCCTTTGGCATTTACACTGATTTTTAGAGGTTTGAAAAGGCTAAAAATCATGTTTTGAGGCTTCAAAAGTGGAGGGGTTAGCCACCCCTTCTTATCCTTACTTACTAGCCTTGATTCTCTTCTTTATTGTCTAGCTTTTCAAGCTCTTTTCATGCATGTTTTACCTCTGATTTTCATGTATTAAGGGCTGTTTTGAGGTTGTCTGGGCCCTTTCAATTGGTTCATGCTTTGTTTAATACACTTGTGGTCTCATAAGTTGGCATGCTAGTTACTTGTTATGCTTTCTTTGTTCAATTTCCATGTTTGGAGTCTTAAGTTTACTAATCAATCAACCATTCATATCTTTCATTCTTGAGAATGGTTTCAACCAATTGAGATTGTTCAATACATGTAAAGGAGACCTACACTTAATGGCTTAATCTCTTTGAAGATTCATCGTCAACGGTGTAGTCTCCTTCTCATGTCTTAGAAGAACTTCTTGTTTGACATCACTTCTTGTTTAGAGGACTTTAACATCACCATGGACAAATGGACTAAAGAATAGCAAAGCCTAATAAAATTGGTTTAAAACTTGGATCAACATACTCAAAGAAAATGGCTTAATAGCTTGAACTTGGCCGGACGTTATGCTAAGTTTCTTGTGTCAAGGCTTATCAAGCATCAATTCATGATATTTTTGATGTCCTTGAAGCGTCTCAACTTCCTTTTTTGAGTTCATTCCATGACAAAAATGAGGGGTGATCATTTTCATTACATTCATTGATTTTTGTCCAAAATAGTATCTGAGATTATCAAGCGATCATATCGCTCATTGATGGTTTTGGAGTCAACCCTAACCTTCTCTTGAGGCTTTCCCATGACAGAGAAGGAAGGAATAACAAACAGAGCTTGAAAATGCTCTATTTATACTGATTTCACCTCAGAGCACAGAAACAAAGCTTTACACCAAATCAATACACAGCCGACCCTCTGTAGGCCCGGCCGGCCATCAGTAATGCACGGCCGGCCCTTGGTGTGTGGCCAGCAGTGCGATTTTGTAGAAACAGAGGTATTGGCTGAAGGTGAAACAGAGGCGGCCCGGGTAGACAGAGTAGCTTTCAGGCGATGTGCATACAACCTTCATCTATCTTCCTTGGTGTCCTTATCAAATATGTTTGATCGTTTAATTGTTTCATTAGCATAATGAATTGTGTTGTAATATTTAATTAGTCTAATTAGTTGTAGCTAATTATTCGGTGCTGTAATATTTAATTAGCTTAGACTAGTTAATTTCTTTTAATTAATTAGCTTAAATAGTTAGTTAATTATTCATTTTAAGTGTTGTAATAATTTAGTTAATTAGTTTAGCTGTTTATTCAAGTTTTGTAATAATTAGCCTAATTAGCTTAATTAGCTTAGCTTGGTTAGCTAGCATTATTCATTCGGACTCTCTTTCGTGAGAGCATGTTGTAATAATATGTATGTTTTCCAACCCCATGTCTTTCTCCCTTTTATTTATCCGCTTTTGATGGTTAGATTAGGGACATGTTTCAATTAGCATACCTTATGCCTTATGCTTGCATCCATTCATTTTGTATTGCATGCACCGAGGCTCGGCGCATCATTCTAACTGCATTGTTTTTTTAATATTTTGATGAGTATATGTTTAAAACGCATGCTCTCAAATCGATCCACAGGTCATACCGAGCCTATTAATTGCATATTGCATGTGTTGCATTAGACATTTAACATAGTTAGGAATCACGCATATTTTTTTAACTCATATCTTCTTAGCTTGGAGTACTAGGTGAGTTTTTAATGCTTTAGCATACTTGTATGAGTGCGAATGATTGCCATGACTAGCATGCTTGCAATGAGGCCAATTGCTTACTTGCTAAATTGTATGAATGCCTGTGGATGAAGACTTGTTGCTTGAATTGGAACGATTCAACGAATGTATGTTTTAAGCCCACTATGTCTAGTGGCAAATTCACTATTTTAAACCCACTTTGTTGAGTGGCAAATTCGCAAAATTTAAGCCCACTTGAGGTGACAAATTCAAACCCTTTTCACAAACAAACATGAAATTGAATTGTTCCAATTCAGGTAAACTAGTCTATACTTGCTTGCGCGCATCACATAGTAATGATAGCCTAATAACCAGAACAAGAGCACATAATGTTGATAAAAATCATATCATGATTAGTAGAGGCTGATCTTTGACCGGGCGAGCGAGGGTGCTCAATTCATGACCTTCCTCTCTCGTATCCAAGTTCCCAAGTTGAGGCAACTTTGGTGATGACGGACACGTGGCCTTTGGCATGAGTCATGGGTTTCCTAAATTTTTTCAAAATAAAATATTTAGGTGGCGACTTTGTATCTGGCAAAGCAGTCTAATTTTGACATTTTTGATTCAAAATCAATTTTCCAAAACGATTTGCCGGATTTGGACTCTTTGGTGTTTATCAATTTCACATTACACTTATGAGATTAGATTCAGAACTGTGGGAGTTCAAACTATAGGGCTTTCTTTCAAACTTCCGAAAGGAGGCGTGAAAATGCCGAGCTACATTATTATATTTTATTTGTTTTGTTAATTTGGTCTTTTATAATTTCAATTATACTAAATTTATCTTTGTATATTACATTTTAAGTGTAAAATTAGTTCAATTGATAATGTCTTCGTTTGGCATGCCAGACTTTTTAGAGTTTGTTTAGGAAGTTGAGATTTGGGCTTTTTTTTGGCTAAAATAGGCACAAAAAAATAAAATAGATTTTTTAGCCTAATAAGACAAAACATCACATCTAACTCATAATCATTACATTCTTTTTCTCATAA